AACATGCTGTCTATTGCAGGTTGTATTCGGAGCAATTTGACTATGGAAACCTGTAAGAAACTCGCCTCGGCTCCGGCCGAAGCGGTCAGAGGTTCCTATACAGATTCCCTCTGTTCCCCACCTCTTAATCCCCCCCCGCCCAGCTCCCTCCCGCCCCCCCTCTCGCCCCTCCCCTTCCTCCCTTCCCCCCCTGCTCGACAACAGCGCTTTTATGCAGAACTCATTCTGCGCCTGCCCCGCTCCCCTCCTTATCCCCTCCCTCCGGTACTCCCACCCTCCACCGCTGTTTCTGCCATTCTTGTCTAGTTCCTTAGATTTTTTGGCTTTTTTTCACAGCCGGGCCGAGGCGGTCGACGCGAAGCGTTTCAACTTATGTTGCGGATATCGAGGACTGCTGTTACTACATATTGAAGCGCCTACTGCGCACGGTTTAGATTTACCGCTCTGGCTTGGGGTTTAAGGTTTGGGGTGTACTGCGTTGGGTTCTGTATGGTTCTGAGCTTTGTTTGCTGTCAAACCTTTAGGATCTAAGAAAACAAACCAGTCGACCCTAAATGTTACTAAACCCTCAACCCTAAAATCAAGACTTGCTTGAAAACCCGAGACTTGTTTGGGAAGCGGAACTGTTGGGTCCAGCAGGTGAGGTTCTGGAATCAAACCGCTGTTGTTTCCCTAAGCCCCAAAGATCCGCAGGGTTGGGGGTTAGGTGCAAGTCCTGAACCTCAAACCGGGGACGAATAAGCTCTGCTCATAGGTGCAAAAACTTGACCATACTGCTGAAAACAACCCGAAAACAAGAAGCATGCATGATTTCAACCGCTGCTCATTTCTGAACTCTGGCATAGTGAACCTTATAAACCTTAACCTCGAGACTCATCATTGAAATTTAAGCGTATGAGTGTTTGGGCTTGTGAATTCTCAACTGAAGCTAAAGGCGATGGGTCAGGGGCTAGGGCTACGCGCTCGCGCGACAAACCCTGAAGTGGCAAACCTTGGCTGGGTGTGGGACAGCTCAACGATCTGCTTACTTGGAGGTTCATGGGTAGTCAACAGTAGGGTTATAAGTAGGGTAACTATACTTATAACCCATATTAGGGGACTTATCACCCTACTTATAACTACCCCTGAACCTCCAAGTACCGGACTGCATCATACAGAGAGTTTACAAACCAACACGACGACTTCGGAGATACTCATATTCCAAGTTGAGGGTTTACGGGTTCTAGTCTCTTCAACTTCATGCTAAATCTCGATCGCTAGGCTCTGAAGTCGTGGCCCCGAAACCCTTAGCCCAAAGCCCTAAACCCCGTTCTAGTTGGGGAATCGGCAATCTGTGTCATCATGTGGAGGCGTCGGGCCTTTGCCACGGCTTCGAGAAGGATGGGATCGACATAGGGACATGGATACTTTGGGTTATTCATCAAGGTCGCCTAGGGCTTATAGGGCTCAGTGTTTATAGGGGCATTAATGATTAGACGATTCGATTAGGGCTAGGGCTCTCTCTGAAGGGGGTTCAGTACAGGGTTCTGCAATGGTTACTATAAGGTTCAAGTTCCATGCTTTGAGTAGACTAGCGTTTCCGGATTTATTGTCTCAGGTTGAAGGTCGGACGGGATCTTATGTCATATTATGCCTCCTATACATCTTCCAAATAAAAGCTTCTGTTTACATCCATTTCAGGCTCGAAGGACAAGCAGAATAGGACGACGTCGAAGCGTGTCTATACTATACGATTCGGGAAAAGATTCAATGCAACATAAGGCGAGTCTGGGCCACCTTCGTGCCTTCGCGCTAAGGCCAATGCTAAGCAGAGGAACGAGACCCCACTTCGCACCCCAAAAGCTTTCCTGAACCGTCTAAGAGCAGGCGGCATTCTTTTCAGGCGGGAACCCAGAGGCTCCAAAACCCCTTAACTAAGGAATATACCTTAAATCATATAATAGGATCCTATTATAGTTTAAGGTATATTCCTTAATTAAGGGGCTTTGGAGTCTCTGAGAATTGATGCAACGTTGCGCAACGGCGCAACTCCCGAGCAGCCATGTTAAGACCTGCTCGTATGGCTTTCATTCTCGAAGGACAGCCACTCCGCTAGCCTCAGATTATATGGGAGTTTCCGAAGATGGGGGATCCTAATATAGTAGGCTAATAAGTAGGATCCTTGTTATAAGGACCACAAAATAAGGTACCCCGAATTTTCGGAAACTCCCATATGAAGCCATGGCGGCTTCGTTAAGGTAATCGCTCCACTGCTCTGCAGTGCAGCCGCTTTGGCTCCAGCACTCGCTGGCAAACACCATCTGCGGAACACCATCTGCGGCGGTGAAGGCTTCGGCCACAACAGGACGGCGTTGAATCGTGACTATACGAGGTCCAATGCGACATCATGCAGAGGATCGAGGCACCAGAACGCCCTCCACAAACCGTCTAAGAGCTTTAATAAGGTTTCTTAGGGCTTATATAAGCTCTTGGGAGTCTTTTTTCAAGCATGGGTCTTGGGTTAGGACGCTCTAGTGCTTTGAGTTCATGTTTGCCGATAAAGGCTCATAGGGCTTGGGTATAGGTTTTGGGGTTTAGGGCCAGTGCTTAGCGTTGTCTTGGCGTAGGGCTTATGCTTTCGGGTTTGGGGTTTAGGGTTGCAAAGTTTAGGGCTGAGGGTTTAGAAGGACGGTGCAGGCGACAAAACCTTGTCCAGCGAAGCACCATGCCAGGAGACCGTAAACCCTAAACACTGACCCCTAAACCCTTAACCCTAATCCCTCAAGCCCTCAAGCGATCGTGAGCCTCTGCTCCGAGACTAAACCCCGCAATATAAACAGGGATTCAGGGAGATTCTACAGCCTAAACACGAAACCTTAACTTAACCCCCAAACCCTAAACCCTAAACCTTGAGCCCTGTACCTTAAACTATCCCCCAAACGCCTAGTCTAACTAAGGGAACCTCAATCTCACCCTTCAGGCCTCACGAAACCCTAAGCCCTAAACACCAAGACAAGATAAGGGTTGACCTTTGGATTATCGCAGAGGTCGGACAAAAAAGTACGTTTGTTCCTTAGATTTGTTATTGTAGTCATACTGTGATAAACCCCCAAAACGCTTTTCTACCTCTTACGCCCCGCAAGCATTGCCGAGATTCCGTAGACCCGGACACCCTGCAAAAGTCATCGAAGGAGACGCCAGTCGCTTAATCTTCAAACCCCAAGCCCTTGCGGGTCTAGGGTGACTTTAAGGTTTCATGGCGTGGAGAACTACTTAAAGGATCATGGGACATAGTAACTACATAAGGTTATTATTAGGGTAACTATACTTAAAACTTATATCCCCAATTGAGGTACTTATAACCATACTTACTAAGTCCCATGATCCTTTAAGTAACTCCCTTGCATCTCAGGGCCGAGCCGGAACCAGCCGCTAAACCTCGCTCCCTGTTGTGCCTGCGCGGAGGCGGTTTTGGGTGTGGCTTCGGGTATAGGGCTTTAGGGTTTAGGGTTTAGGGGTTTCGGGTGTGGCTTCGGGATTTCTGCGGTACTTTGGGGTTAAGGGCTTGAGGGGCTCAGGGTTTAAGCTTGAGGCCTAGGATTTGGAATCTTGGCGTTTTGGGTTTGAACCCTGAACCCTAAACCCTAAACCCTAAACCCGAAACCCTAAACCCTAAAGCCTAAACTAAATTCTTAAATCCTGAACTCTGGAAGCTTCGAGCCTTTCGTGTGATTAGGAGAACCTTAAGTCTTAAGTCATCATGGGGTTGTAAGCACATGATACCGAGAACTCCCCTTGAAACCCTCACTAAACCCCAGACCCTAGACATCAAACAGACTCTAAGGCAACTCTTTAGTTTCGAGAATTGTGTTATTTCTAACCCTTGTCCACTCTTCCAAACTAAGCGATTCGAGTTCGCCCTTGAGTCCTGGCTCAGGCTAGGCTTTAGAGTTGAGGTCTACAGCTTTTAAGTTTTAGCTTCATGGTTCGGGTTTTGGAGTTTGGGCTTCCAGGAGGGTTTACAGTAGAAGCCAAAAAGTTGGAAACCCAATAGCCTCAATCCTTAAGAGTAATGTATAGGGAATCCCAGCACTATTTGGCCTTAATCCGGTTTCCAACTTTATGGGGTTTACTCTAAACCCGAACCCTAAACCCTATACCCGTATAGAATCCCTATAGATCCCTTTAAAGGACCCCTATGAACCCTACTTAGGGTTGTAGTGTTTGGTGCTTCAGAGTTCAGGGTTCCAGACTCCAGGTGTCGTCTACGGGGCCGGTACTTTCGACAAAGTTCGACTCCAACAATACTTGGCCCCCCTTTTGGGTTATGACTATAGTTATCCTACTTATAACCCTACTTACAGCTACCCCGAAACCCTAAACCATATAAATCCTATAGAACCCTTTAAAAGACCACTACTTATAACCCTACTTATAACTAACCACGAACCTCCAAGTCTCTGCGCGACTTGAAGGTTGCTTTGATGTCCAAGCTGGATAGCGTTCTTTCTGGGCTGTACCTAAAGCCGAAACCATAAACCCTAAAACCCTAAACCCTAAGCCATAAACCCTGAAGCTGGATGGTGTTCCGCTTTCTGGGCTATCCTAAACCCTAAACCCCTAAACCCCTAAACCCTGAACCCCTAAACCCTAAACCCCAAGCCATAAACCCTGAACCCTCCCCGACTCTCAGCGTAACAGGTGATGGACACCGTGTGCTGCTCGCGCTCCCTAGCCGGTGGAGAACTCTTACAATAACATCCGTATAGACCCCTCACTGTACAGTAGCGTCCTTTCTTGCAGAACCGTCCTTGCAGAAAACCCTCACAATAGAACCCCTCATGAGGAACTCCTCTTTCTAGAATCGCCATGACCATGTCAAGATGAAATCCAGAAACCTTGTTTGCAAAACCCCAACTTGTAAACCCTCCCTAAACCCTAAACCCTAAATCCTAAACCCTAAATCCCCAAACCCTAAACCTAAACCCTAAACTCTCTAAGCTTTCAAGCATAGTGAAGACCTCGGCGAGTTCCTGCCGCAGCTGCTGTCGCATCTCCAGCTCTGTTTCCTGGCAGGCATCGAGGATTTGGGATTTAGGTCCTATGGTTGATGATATAAATCCTGCATTACCTTAAGAACCCTAAACTATGGGAATTATGGCATATTCCTTATTGTGGGTAAGATTTATATCATCAACAGTATGGTAACGATCGTATAAGGCGGTTTAAGGGGCCTCTACACTGAGGATTCTATGAAGAATTCTCTGGCGGTTCTAGACGGGTTCCGTGATAAGGGCAAACAAGCACAAAAAGCTTTCTACAAAGCTCCAAGTCCAGGGCAAAACGGGTTCTACTTGGGTGCTACAGGGTTCGTCTTCAGGGGTTTCTGGGTTGTACAGTTTTTCGGGGTCCAGGGCCAGCATGGGTGCCATGATCAGGGTTTCATACCAGCGTCAAATTCTTGCTCTATACAAGGGCGGACACAGAGCTGAACATTTAGAAGTCGGGATGCAGGGTCCAGGGTGTGGGATCAAGGGTCTGAAATTGTTGGCTTCGTTTTGGAATTTCTAGAGTTTAGGATTTGGGATCCCTTTTGAAAGAATTTGGGGTTAGGCGGCTTGGGTATCGGGTGTTGGCTCAAAGTTTGAGGCTGATGACAGAAAAGTCAGGGAACAGGGTTCGTGATAGCTCCTGGGGTTTGTTGGTGAACTGGAGACTTCCGTGTGAAGAGTGCGGGATGTCGAGTTCAAGGGGTGAGACCCTAAACCCTTAACCCCTACATAAGCCCTAAACCCTAAACCCCTAAACTCTAAAGCCCCCAAACCATAAAACAGAGTTTAGGGTGGTTGGTTTTAAAGTTTAGAGTTTAGCACAGGATTGATGGGTTCAGGTGTCGGGCTCGAAGTTCGTCACAGAGGGGCCTTGAAAACTAAAGTGGAGTTTCTGTTGAAATTGCCGCAGAAATACATTTAGGAACCCCGTAATTTTGTCGGGCCCTTGACTAGTGTTCGCTTCGAGGTCTGGCTTTCGGGCGGTAAGGGCCCTAGGTTGAAGGGTTGGGGGCATAAGGGATTGAGGGGTTTAGGGTTTAGGGGTTTAGGGATATAGGGTTTAGGGGTTTTAGGGGTTCAGGGATTTAGGGGTTTAGGGGTTTAGAACTTAGGAGCATAAGGGATTGAGGGTTTCGTGCTCTGGGGTCAAGGTTTTTGGACTTGGGGTTTAAGCTTTGGAAAACACGGGTTAGTGTCTGTTCTGTAGGATGTGTCGGCTTTGAACCATCTAACCTACGGCACTGAAACCCGGAAACACCCAAAAACGCCTAAACCCTGAACTCCTGAATCCCGAACCCCTAATCCCCTAAACCCTAACCCCTAAACCCCCTAAACCCCCTAAACCCTAAACCCCTAAACCCCTAAACCCCTAAACCCTAAACCCCTAAACAAGAGGCAAGAAAAAAAAGAAGCCCGAGGACTGCACTGGCAGATGCGGCTTTGCATCCAAGTCCTGCACTGCCCAAGTGCTGCTCTCCAGGGCATGCTTGGTTAAGGTACGTATAACCATACGTAAAGGATCATGGGACTTAGTAACTCAGGTTATTTTCCGGGTAACTATACTTATAACTACTTATAACCCCAATTAATGTGTACTTATAACCTTACTTACTAAGTCCCATGATCCTCCAAGTAGCTACTAAGACCCATGGTCCCCCAAGTAAAAAATTTGACCCTAAAACGTAAACCCAGGGTTTAAAAAACGCAGGGTTTCGCGTTTCAAGTTGAACTGGCTTCAGGGGGTGAGCTCATGGTGGAGGGTTTGGGAGGTTCGGGCCTGGGTTTTGGGTTTTGGGGTTTAGGAAGTTTAGGGTTTAGGGTTCAAGGTTTGGGGTTTTGGGGTTTAGGAAGTTTAGGGTTTAGGGTTTAGGGTTCAGGGTTTTTGGTTTTGGGGTTTAGGATTTTGGTGCTGCGGGTTTCGCCCCCTTTTTTCGACCTTTGCGGGTCGCGGCTTTAGGTCTGTGGTCTTGGTATTTTGGGGGCTTGGGTTACGAGGCTTACGGTTAGGTTAAAGGAGCTCTAGAGTTAAGGATATGGGAGTTTCCGAAAAAGAGGGGTACCTTCAAAGTGATCCTTTGGGCTCCTTAAAGGGATCTATAAGGGTTCTATGAAGGGTTTAGGGTTTAGGGTTTGGGAGTTTCCGAAAATGAAAGGTACCTTCTTTTGGGGTCCTTATAATAAGGATCCTACTATTTATGGTACGATATTAGGGTTCCCTGTTTTCGGAAACTCCCATATTTGCTTTGGGCTTGAGGGGGTTTGGGGTTCTTGCCGCCTCGGGTCCCTTTTCCTTGACATTACTACAGCCATTTGTACATGGAGGTCAGCGAAGTCGGGGTGTAGGGTCTTGGGGTTTTGGGTTTAGGGCATCACCAATACTACCTACGAACAAGTACTTTGCCGCGGGCGGTCGTTTTCACGAAGAAACCCGACATCGTACCACCCGCCGGTCGCTCAGCAACTCAACCCCTACCGACGCCAAACCCCAAACCCAAACACCCTACGCATAAAACTCAATACTCTGAGCACTGCGCTAGGCCGTGAATCCTTTTTACTTTCACAACAACAAAACCTAAACTAAGAACCAACTCCAGTGTCCCAAGTTTGGCGACCAAACAAGAGGTCAAACGCTTATAATATAGTATAATGCAACATAGTCTTACGCAATATGATCTGTCTTCTCTGTTATTCCATATACAATATGAACACATGTATTGTAATACACTTAATATGATATAAAAAACTTCTAGCAGCTAGCATAAACTAATGTACTACGAAATAACATAAGAACCGGTCGGAGGTTCCTGTACAAGGTTCCTATACGGATTCCCTCTATTCCCCACCTCTTGATCCAGTCACCCCCCCCCACCGCCTCTCCTCCCTCCTGCCCCCCTAGCCCAGCCCAACGATTGACGGTTTAGGTGGCTCAACGCAAGCAATGACAAGCAATTTCTATTTATTTCTTGAGGGTATAAGGGGTCTACAACCAGAAAACCCGGAAACCTTCTAACCCTAATTACAACCGCCCATGGACCCTCAAAGGGAAGACCATATCCACTCAGGTTTAGGCTTTAGGGTTCCGGGTATAGGGTTTTAGGGTTTGGAGACCTTAACTACTAGATCGCCCGGCTCCTCAAAATCAACACCAAAAACACCAAACTCCAAAATCTTAAAGTAGCGAATGCCGAAAACCCCAAACCCCTGAACACTATCAATCACTTAAGCCTAAACCCGAAACACCTTACACCCCCCAAAAGCCCAAACCCTAAACACCTTACGTAAGTCGACACAACACCCAGATCGCCTCCAGCTGCCGGGTGTATGCCAAGACCACCAAGCGGTGTAGCTCCTGGGTGGTCCTGGCACCGACACTCTCAAACCATAACAGGCGGGTTTAAGATCCAGGTCTCAGGTGGTGGGAAGCTTAAATCCAAACTCCTCTGTCCTTGAGTCCGAGCCCCCGACTGCGCACACACACACACACACACGCACGCACGCACGCACGCACACGCGTACACACTGACTGCACTGTACAAAGCATGATCCCAGTCCAAAGTTCCAGGTCTGCCCTGGATCCAGGGGTCAAGTCTGTCACTACTCCAGCTTCTGACTCTGACTGTGCCAGGGTGGCCCCAATTGTTTAGGGTTTAGGGTTTAGGGTTTGTTTGCCGTGAATTAGAACGACCCTGGTGTTCATTCGCTGTCTTTGCAGCAGCTGCACGACGATCACACCCGGATCATCGCAACCAGGTCGGCTGGTACTGGAGGCTTTACTAACCGCAGTTTCACCAGCATCTGCACGGCTGTCGTTTTGGAGTCAAAGCTTAGGTCTTAGGGTATCGACTTTTTGGTCGAGGTCGTGGGTATAACCGCGAGTGCAGAACAGCCGCCAATAGCCTCTCAGCCGCAAATCCTAAATCCGTAAAGCCAAACTCAAACCCTGAACCCTGAGCCCTCCAGCGTAAACCTGGAACCTGCAAAGCCCCAAACCCTAAACCCTAAACCCTAAACCCTAAAATGGGGCTTCAGAGCTTTCGGGGCTTGAGGATCCTATGGCTTTGAAGCTTTGGGGGGAGAACTCAAGGACATAGAGTTTTGATCTCCGAAAGCCCCGGAAGCCAAACTTTCAGGCTCGAGGCATAAAAGTCACAGCTCTACCGGGCTCAAACATGATCATCACCATGGCCCTAGCCCCTAAACCTGTAAATGGGCAGAGCCTTTAGAACCCGAAGAGGGTGTAGAACCCTTATGGATCTCGTACAGCAGCCCCTTAAAGGAACCCTTTAAGGGTTCCTTTGGGCTCCTTCAAGGGGTCGATAGGGGTTCCTCTAAATGAAACCTTGAAGGCACCCCTACAGGAATCCTTAAAAGAGGAACCAAGGGAATGGAACGAAAGCTTCAAATCCTTGAATTGCCAGTCGCCTGAGCATCAGCTGATCGTAGGAAGGTCTCCCAGCTACCGGTCGCACCTGGAGGGGCGGCGTAGGGCTTAGGGTTTGGGGTTTTGGGTTTACGGGTACTGTATAGAGTTTAAGGACTTGGGAATAGGGCTTAGTGGGTTTATGGGTTCCTCAAGGGCTTTAAACAGGCAATATCACAAGTTCTAGACCGAGGATTCCAGAAGAATAGTTCGTGGAAGAAGCATTGGTGTGGTCCATGTCGATAGTGCCAATGCTCTTCGTCATAGGCGTGCGACGAGTAGTTGCAGTCTTGGCGGTCTTGTGAACAGTGCGTACCCCCGAAACACGTAGCGAGTGACATTGGAGACTCGTCGAAAAATGTAGCTGCTGAGGTCTATCCATTGAGCAAGACTGCACTGGTTCACCATCGCGTGGTATCGTTCTTTGGGAAATTAGGGTTTAGGATTCTGTGAGGGTTCTGTGATTTGGTGCTAAACGAGTAACGGGTGTAGGGATCTATGAGGATTCTGCAAAAGAAGAGGTGCAAGTCTCGGCACCCTTTGCGGTTTTCCACTTTAAGCCTAAGGGTTTAGAGTTTAGGTTCTTTCGGTGTAGGGCTTAGGGTTTGGGGGGTTCCCGACCAAAATGCGGCATACCATCATGGGATCTCTGCGCAGCGGAGATACCGTAAGCTTTACAACCCATGGCTCGAGCATAGGGGTGCCTTGTTTGGGGTCCTTATAATAAGGATTCTACTATTTGGGGAACTATATGAGGCCCCCTATTTTCGGAAACACCCAAGTAGCCGAAAATCCTTGAACCTCAACTCCGAAACCCTAACCCAAACCCCTAAAACCCTTAACCATAGCCCCTGAAACCAAAAGTCTAAACCCAACCCCTAAACCTTACTATGATAGGTAGAAGCGGCAGAGTCGCTAAGATCCTGAAAGCAGAGAAAAGAAGAAGGGTTTAGGGTTTGGGTAGTTTGAAGCTGCTAATGAACACCACCCTCACCTCGTGACAAACTCACCCTAACCGAACTGTAACCAGCGCTACCCTTGAAAAAATAAAACCCAACCCCTCAACCCTAAACCGTAACCCTTGAAACCAAAGCTAAACCCCAACCCGGAAACCCCGAGCCCATTTTCCTTACTCCTGAGATCTTAAACTCCAGGCCTCAGGGTCCTAGAACCGAAAACCGGTTTAGGGTTTAGGGGTTTAGGGGTTTAGGGTTTAGGGTTTAGGGTTTAGGGTTTAGGGTTCAGGGTTTAGGATTTAGGAATATGCTTACTTGGAGGCCCTTTTGACTTAGTAAGTCTACTTAGTATCCCCTATAAACCCCATTATAATCCCCAAAAAAACCCACCTTACTAACCCTACTTACTAAGTCAAAAGGGCCTCCAAGTAAGGTAAAGGGCATTGGGGCTTTCAATTCGAAGGCCTAGGTTTCATAATTTTGAGGTTTCAGAGTTTGGGGCTGAGGGTTTGAAGGCCTTGCTTTCAAGTCTTTAGGGCTTTACGGCGTTCAGGCTCAGATTTTGTAAGAAATGACATACAAGATTATATTATTGGATATATACGAACAACGTACAAGATATACTATTACTAACTATACGCTGTATACATGCTATGCATACATAATATCCTGATTCTGGGATCCGTGCGTCGATGAGGCATCCCTCTGGATTTCGGTAGAGACCCCGAAAGCCGCCAGAGACTGGAAACGCTTTCCTTGGCACTTGGTTTAGGGCCTCGGGTTTAGGGTTTAGGGAGTAGGGCTTAATGTTTAAGGCTTAGGGCTTAGGGTCTAGGGTTTAGGGTTCAGGGCTTAGGGTCTAGGGTTGAGGTTTTGGGTTTTGAATGACGGCTTGAGTTTTGGACAGGCGGTCCAGCTAGGCTTAAGGGCTGCAGGTTTCGAGTTTTAGAATTGAGCGCTTCGTACACACAGTTTACGGAGTTCTGTTGGGGGGTTTAGGGTTTGGGGCTTAGGGTTTAGGAGAATTTTTACGGAGTTCTACCAGTTGTTGCAGGGTTCATGAGGCTTCCTACAAATTGCTATTCAGGGTTGCATTCAGGGTTCCAGATGGGTTCTTTTCGGCTGTAGGGTTTTTACGGCTTGAAGGGTTGCAAAGCGCTTTGGGGTTGCAGGTTGAGAGTTCGGCTTCCGGTTTGATGGTTTGGAATCCAAGGTTGTCGGTTTCGGGCTGAGGATTGAAGGGTTTCAGGAAGGGTTTAGGGTTTGGGTTCGGGTATCCTAAACCCGAAATCCCAAGCCTGAGCCTGAAATGGTGAGCCACATGCTGCAAGCTCTGAATCTTTAAGCGATGCCTTAAGCCCTAAACCTTGAAAAGAATTTGAAACCCACTACGTATTAAGGTCCGAACACGCCTTCCCCCAACTGAAGCCACACAGCCGAGCACATATTTCCAGAGCTCTCGACACCGCGAGCCAAAACCACTTGCAACGCCGATTCTGAAGCCAATGCTGCATGTGACCCTTCAAGCCCTAAACCCCAAATCCAAAAATACGGTTGATGGTATCAATCCTGCATTACCCATAATAAGGAATATGCCATAATTCCCATAGTTTAGGGACCTTAAGGTAATGCAGGATTTACATCATCAACCGTAGGACTCCGTAAACTCCACCAACCCAGGTTCCCAATAGAACTCCGGTAAACTCCTCAAACTCACATTCCGTGCCTCAAGCCGGCGTCGTCCGCATCGGGCTCCAGCTCAAAGGCTTCCACGTGGACCTTTCGATAACCTCAGGACCATGGCCAAGGGGACTTTGTATTAAAGGTTGCTCCTTTGAGGGATCCCTTGAGGGATCTATAAGGGTTCCTTTAAGGGATCTAGAAGGGTTCCTTTAAGGGATCTATAAGGGCTAAGGGCTTTTTCTTTAGGGTTTAAGGTCTAGGGATGTAGGGTGTAGGGCTTCGGGATTAGGGATCTGAAGATTTAGGGATTTAGAATTTAGGGTCTAGGGTTTGCACGGTTTAGGGTCTATAGGGGTAGGGTGTGGGGTTTGGGCTTCGAGTGTAAATGTTTGATTGATGTTTTTGCTTCGCGTTGGTTTCGTTTGGTAGATAAGGGTGTGTTGCTGTTGCTTCTACTAGATACCCAGTAACCTAAGAACAAAAAGGCCTCTCTTTTTGGTATTGGGTAACTTTATAAGGAACCTAGGACTACAAAAAGGGAATAAGGGTACTACTGGGCATCCTAGTCGAGGTCTTGTGTGGGGATTGGGTTTAGGGTTCGCAGTCCTCCGGGTCCGAGAAGTACGAACACAGGATTTCAATTTGTGGGGGAAACATGCTCTCGGCTTTGAGGTTAGGGTTTAGGGTTCAGGGTTTAGGTTTTTTGGGTTTAGGGTGGTAGTGTGTTCAGGGGTTCAAGGGTTTTGTGCTGAGGGTTCAAGGCTTAGTGTCTAGAGCATAGTCATCACGGTGGAAGGGCTGCTGGGATTGAGGCGTCGGGCTTTGGGATTAGCGGTCGGGCCGGTCGGGCGAAGGGTTTGCCATGTAGGGACTTGAATTCGGAGGTATTTGTTCATGAGAGGGAGCCGCGGGTTTAGGTTCTAAGGCTCTGGGGTTTGGGTTCAAGGCTTGAGGTTTAGGTTGGATTTAGAGATTCTGGTTGTATACGGGCTGAAAAGAGCTCCAGGGAGCCTTCATGTCTTTCTTGCCGCCGAAAACCCGTAAGCCTGCGAACCGTCAAGAAGTTCGGCTTAGTACACTCCGGACAAATACTACGGTTTATGCTATAAATCCTGCATTACCTAGGATTTATGGTATATTCCTTCTTATGATTATGGGTAATGCAGGATTTCTATCATCATCCGCATCTATCCAAATCCTAAACCCGCAACCCCCTAAGACAGCAATATGTAGCTCTGCGCGCTCCTTTCAGCCCTTCATGAGGAATCGCTAGGACACTGAATGTCCAACCTTGCCTACACCCGGCCCTGAACCCGAAACCCTGCGCCCTCATGAAAAGATCAGAAACTAGAGTTTGTTATCACGGCAGCTACCGCAGACCCTAAACTCTCCAGGAGTCCGAAAGTGGGGCTCAGGGCTTTTGAGGTTTAGGGGGGATTAGGCATTAGGGCTTTTATGGGGGGGCTTAGGGTTTAGGGTTCAGGGCTTTCAGGGCTCCGCAACCTCTTTCGGCGAGCGCTGTCTCAAAGTCGAAGTCCTTGGGCGGCCAGTCGGGCAAGACGTACCACCAACGGCCTGGGCATGTTATGGCAGATTATGGTTCAGGCTTTAGGGTTTAGAGTGCCAACGGCCTGGGCATATCATTGAACACTCTGGTATACTACGGTAGATTATTGAATATTCTGGTATACTGTGGAAAATTATGGTATACGATTATGATATATTATACTATGTTGTGGTATGTTTACGGCATTTTCCTAGAGGGCTTGTGGTCAAATGCTCGGCTGAGGGCTTAGGGATTGTTGTTTACAATTCGGCGTGGGATCCCTAAACCCTCCCGTCTGGAGTGCCGGGTTCAGTAGCTTCCGGTTTTGGAAGAGGGGTTTCCCTGATCTGCGGAGTCCGGATGAGAGGGGGGGGTCACGACTTAAGCTTTCCGTGGCTCATAGGGCTTAAGTGGCTTAAGGTGTGGAGCTTTGGGCCTCTTGGGGTTGCTGGTTTAGGCTTTTGGGTTTCGGCCTGCCTCTACATCACACAACCTTCGCTTTTTGGCCCTAAGCCGGCAGGCTCCCCGGTGCCAGGTAGACCCTTGAACTCTCAATCTTAAGCCCTTCCAGGACCCCCTGATGGCCCTTTGATAGAGCCTTTATGGCCCTTAATAGTGGGTATTTGGGGTATAGTAGAGGGTAGTTGGTGGGTCTAGGTCGTGATCCTTGTATTATAAAATACGATAATCTCAGCCTGCAGCCAAAACCTTCTAGCCCTGCATTTTACAAAAGGCCCAGGCAGAAAAGAGCTTGGGCAAGTTTAGGATCACAGGTTTTGCTTTTCACGACTGCCATGTGCCACCATATGCGACATGACACGAGGAAAGCACTTGTGCAAAGCACGTAGGTGCAGGCGGAGAAGCTTCGGTGTTCTGCACATACCGACCTGTGTGCAAATCTGATACAGGGCTTGGAGAGATTACGTAACAAGACGCATGCAGAACACCGAGTTCAATAAGACTTGCCTACATTCCCTAAATCCTAAACCCGAAACAACCCTTACCCTTACACCCTAAACCCTACGCCCACCAGTCAAACTCCTCACGTACCAAGGCCCTGAAGCGCTCCCCGCACAGAGCGGCCCCGAAACCCGGAACCCCATAAGGGCTCCTTTTAGGGCTTAGGTTTTCAGGTTCCGGAGTTTAGGGTTTAGGGTTATACTCAATTTACAATCCCTAGAAGAACCCGACATAAACCCAGCGTCAAGCCAACACGAGCCCGCATAAACCGTTTATAGGCCCGACCCAAACCACATAAAAGTCCTTAGAAAACCCATGGAGATCCTGCAAAAACAACCCGGCTCGCAACCCTGCGAACTCTAGAAGAAGCCGCAGCCAAGATGCAAAGCAGCTTGGCGACCAGCTTCTGCTTCGCATTTCGATCGCGGCCCGTTCTGGGAGCCGGAACTTCGCCTGCAAAGTAAACTGTGGGGCTTCTGGAGATCAGCGTGTGGCGCTTCAGCCCATAGCCCCAGCTTGAGGCTCCCAGGGTTTAGGAGTTCAGGATTCAAGGGTTTAGGGTTTAGGGTTTAAATTAGGGTTTCGGAGTTTCGGGGTTTAGGGGTTTAGGGTTTAGGGTTTAGGGTTTAAGGTTTAGGGGTTTAGGGTTTAGGGTTTAGGGTTCAGGAGTTGAGCCAAAACAAAGGTCTTTGACGCCTGTTGATTCTCTCGAACAAAAGCGAACCTCACCAGGGCCTGTGGCTCCAGCCACTCGGAGCTTGATTGAAGGGTTAGGGCCCCCAAACCCTAGACCCTAAACCCTAAACCCTAAACCCTAGACCCCAAGCCCTTAACCCTAAACCCTAAACCCCTAAACCCCTGAACCCTAAACCCCTAAACCCTAAACCCTAGACCCTGAACCCTTGAATCCTGAACTCCTAAACCCTAAGAGCCTCCAGCTGGCGTTATGGGCTGAAGCGCCACATGTGGCCAGCGATCAGTGCAGCCTCGCTCCACTGCGTTCTTCAGGCTTCAGGGGTTTAGGGGTTTAGGGGTCTAGCGGTTTAGGGTTAAGGGTTTAGGGGTTTAGGGTTTCGGGATTCCGGTTTAAGGGTTTATCCGGTGTATAGATGGTTTCGGAGTGTTTCTAGCAAGGATCCGTTAATTTCGTTCCATAGTAGAGGGACTGTTCTGTCGCCTTGAAGATGCATCGTCCTCACCCTCACAGAAAGCTTTCGTGCATCGGCATCCTCATCATCGCGCTTGACCTCTTAACTGACAGAACTACCATTATCACTATAGTTACTATAGCTACTATACATAGCTACTATAGGTGCTATAGTTTCTACAACTACAACTATAACAACTATTATTGTTATTACTACTACTACTACTACTACTACTACTACTACTACTACTACTACTACCACCACTACTACCACTACTACTAGGGTTTCTATAGTTGCTATTGCGGCGGTCGTCGCCGGGGGCCGGCCTCCCTCTCTGCTCCGCCCTTTTCATAAGCAGCCATCGTCACGTCTCAAAAGCACCAGCAGCCCTAACAAGAACAACGGTTTAGGGTTTCGAGTTTAGGGTCTAGTCCTTTCTGCTCTAGTTCTGTGCATTTAGGATTTAGGATGGTTTGGGGTCGAGGACAACAGCATCAATAACGGCATGAAGATCATCAGCAATTCACTACAAGAACACCGACGACAGCAGAGCAGCAGTATCCACATCACGGCACAGCCGGATCAAACCTCACCCTGCCCGACAATCTTTTTCTGCTCGAACACGCCACGGAGGACAGAGTTTCCCAGTCTAGGCCGGAGTGCATGCAGTCATTCCCCGCATGATCAGCAAGTTCAGCTTGGTAGCTGTCTGAAACTCAACACTGGCTGTTGAAAACTCGTGTTGTCCGTTCAGGCCTACGATGACATCGTCAACCTGGACTCCCCATCCGTGGAGGCCATTCTCCTCTTGCATCCGGTTCCATCTGTCGATGAGGCCACCATCCAAGATCCTGCGCACGCGTGCTGCAGAGCTGTAGCCTGCGCCAGAGGAAGCCTCCACGGCCTCCATACGGATCCCGAGCCTATCGAAGGGATTCTGGCGGAAGACCGTGATGGAGAAGGGCTTGGCTTGCTTGCTTCTCCTCTCCTGGGTTCTTGTTTCATTTCAGTTACCATAACCAGGAAACCCTATTATTTCCCATAGATCCCTATTCTGGTAACTTAAGATAAATCCTTTAACCCCCAAATCCCTCCCTTACAGGAGCCCCTTATAGATCCCTAGTATGGTAACTTTAAACCTACATCCCTTAACCTGAGCCCCGTCTCCTCCGAGTCCTGGAAGGTCTCCAGGGCCCGCGGCCGCTTGGGCAGCGGCGCCCGTGGCGTCGGAGACGAGATTCCTATGTAGGGGTTATATAGGGATTATGTAGGGGTTATATAGGAATTATATAGGGGTTATATAAGGGTTCCTATACCGAACTTAGAACCCTAGCAAAAATCATAGTTTTAGCTGTTTCTTAGGGATTATAATCACCAAAAATTATAATTTTAGCTGTTTACTTAGGGATTATAATCACCAAAAATTTAAAAATATTTCTAAGTATCCCTATGATTCGAGGCTGCGGCTCGGGCGGGCGGCGGCCCCAGCGTGCTGCCTGGGCACGGCCTTGCGGGTAGGATGAAACACCACTTGGGGTTTCTCATGGGTAGTTCTAAGGGTTCCTTTAAGGGTTCCTTTAAAGGGATCTCTAGGGATTCTATAAGGGTATAGGGTTTAGGGTTCATGGGTAGTTATAAGTAGGGTTACAAGTAGGGGAACTATAACCCATCTTAGGGGACTTATAACCCTACTTATGGCTATACTTCGGTTTCAGCAGAGGAACTCCAAAATACAACTCCAAACAATAGACTCCTCATCACAAGGACTTCATAGATACGGGATCCCCAAATTTATTCAACCCCCTATCTCTCGCAGCTCACCCGTTCGGCGGCGGGATACGTCAACAAATACCGCTCGTATAGCCCCAAACCCTAAGACCCTAAACCCTGAACCCTAAACCCTAAACTCCTTAAGTTCTAAACCCTTACTAACTCCTTGAACCCTAAACCCTAAACTCCTTAAGCCCTAAACCCTAACTCCTTAAACCCTAAACCTTAAACTCCTTAAACACAAAGCCCTAACTCCAAAATCCTCAAACCCTGCTCATCGAAGAATCCGCACTCCGCCGGTCCTTATAATCAGGATCCTACTATTTAGGGTGCTATATTACAAGGGTCCCCTGTTTTCGGAAACTCTCTATAAACCCTAAACCCTAAACCCTGAACCCTAAACCCTCAACCCTAATCCCCAAAACCCTCAACCCTAATCCCCAAAGCCTCAACCCTAAACCCTAAGCCCCTAAACCCCTGAACCCCAAACCCTAAACCCTTCAACCCTAAACCCTGAACCCCAACTAAACCCTAAACCCCAACTAAACCCTAAACCCCTAAACCATCATTAAAAGAAAAACCCTCAACCCTAAACCCTTAAATGAAGTCCCTTAGGATTCCTGAACCCCTAAGCCCCCAAACCCCCAGACGCCGGAAGAGCCGCCTTGTCGCTCCCTGGGGGAACTGACAGGTGACTCCCCGAGCGAGTCCATGGAATCCTAAGGAACTTCATTTTAAGGGTTTAGGGTTTAGGGTCTTAAGGGTTTAGGTTTAGGGATTTTAGGGTTTAGGGTTTTTAATGATGGTTTAGGGTATAGGGTTTAGGGCTTTTAGGGTTTAGGGCTTAGGGTTTTTCTTTTAAAGATGGTTTAGGGTTTAGGGTTTAGGGTTTTTAATGATGGTTTAGGGTTTAAGGTTTAGGGTCTAGGGGTTTAGGGTTTAGGGTTTGGGGTTTAGGGGTTTAGGGTTTAGGGGCTTAGGGGTTTAGGGTTTACGGCAATAGGGAGCTGTACTAAATAATGTCCTAAACCCTGAACCCTAAAATTATGGTAACTAACATTAAGTCCCTTAACAGGAACCCATGGAATCCTCCTCATCCACCGCCTCCGGGGGGAAGTCCTGCGATAGTATGTTTAGGTTTTAGGGATTAAGGGGTTTAGGGTTCAGGGGTTTAGGGCAGGGGGTTTAGGGCTTGGAGTGTGTTGTTTAGGTTGAATTGCACTCCCTTCCGAAGATCCGAATCGATTTAGGGTTTCGGGTTTAGTGTCATATACTGAAGTAGACTTTAACCTGTCATAGTGCGGTATCGTTTAACCTGTCACAGTGTCGCGTACCGTAGTATATGCTAAGCTGTTGTCGTGTAGTACATTTTCAGCTAGTACAATGCAATGTAGCATATTTCACCTACGACAGTGTAGCATAGGATCCTACAGTCCTCCTCGAAGTCCGGGAAGGGAGCTTCGACGACTTCGCCCCGCAGCAGTCGGACCCAAGTGGCGCAGAGGTCCTCCTTTTCATCGTCGTGCCAATGGATGCCATCGCTGCAAAGCTTCCACTTCATCACTTTCTGCCGTAAGTCTGTCACGTATAGACCTTCGCTCTCCACAAGATTTCTCACATATTGGAGGTTGTGGTCATAGTTCGGGGAGAGCTGCAGGCCCCGATACTTCGCGGCAAAGCCACCGATCACGAAAACAGCCCGTTGCGATTTCAGCTTCACCACATGGATGAACTCCTTCCAGTCCGCCTCCACTCGCTCTGTGATCGGGCCGAACCTGAGTTCTTGTTGAGAAATTTAAGTTCAGTTACCACAACAAGGAAGCCATATTCTTTACTATAGAGCCCTACTGCGGTAGCTTGTAGTAAGTCCCTTAACCAGAACCCAGGAACATGATGTCGTTCCCGAAGTAAGATACACCCAGTGAGCCAACTTCAGGTCCTGCTCTGATCCTTTGCAGAAGTTGGGCCACACCTGCAGAGGCGATCGCCTCATACCAGACGCTGGCGCCAAGCAGCTCCTGTAGACGGCTTCCCAGCTTCCTGGGCTTCTTATTAGGGCCCTTGCAGTACAGCGAAGAGTCACCCAACACTCCAAAAGAGCACCTCAGCGCCATGGCTCATCGCCGCATCTAGGGCATAACAGAATGTACTGATGGCATGATGTGGCATATGGTGTTATCTCTGCATGTGTTTTCTCTAAGTGCTGCTTAGTCGATAGCCGAGGGATGTAGAGGGTGTTTTGCAGTGTGTTGTTATCAAAGTTGTGAGTACCAGCACAGCCGTGGATGATAGTTGCCGTCGGCCTACACACACCAGAACCGATCGAATGTGTCGCTGGGACGGCAAGCGGGTAAGACTTCCTAAACAATGGGCCGTCGTGTCGAGGTACAGATGCTCACTGCTTGTACACTGACAACAAGTATCTGAATTACTGCCGATGTGTGGTGATTTGCAACGCTAGAAAGGCATCACGTACTCAGGATGGGAAACAGTGTGTGGTTCAGGGTGCAGGGTTCAGAGGTTCAAGTTCAAGACCTTTAACTTCCTGCACCCTGAACCCTTAGTAGGGTTGAGTTGGAGAACTTTGGGTCACGGACTTCTGCAGCGGAATCACCGAAAGCTGAATCTTCCCCAAGAAGTGTTGGCGACAGAACCAAGACGATTCTCCAAGTATCTGTCGAACTCCACAAGAGTATGGTCAGACACATATTCTACAACTTGGTCATAGAGCCCCGCTAGAGCCCTATCAGAACCTTCATAGAACCTCAAGATAAAGGCTAGTGGAACGTCCCGTGACCCTAAAACTGCGTAAACGTAGACAAAAGTTAAAGTTGCGGGTTTTTGGGTTTCGGACCCCTAAACTCTACGCCCCTGTTGTTGTAAACCCTAAGCCCCTATTCTTGCAAAAGCCCTACACCAAAACCCTAAACCCCTTAAACCACTAAACCCCTAAACCCCAGACCCCTAAACCCTAAACCCTAAACGCCCAGACCCTAAACCCTAAACCCCTAAAACCCCTACAACCCTGAACCCCAAGACCTCGGCTCATCCAAGCTTGGGAGCAGGCAGGGCACCAGCGATTTCGGGCGAGCCTCACCGGTCCAAGGGAATTCGGGACTTCGCTCAAAGGGGAAAAGGAGGGACCCTTAATGGGGACCCTTTAAAGGGATCTATAGGGATTCTATAAGGGTATAGGGTTGAGGGGTTTTGGGGGTTTAGGGGAAAAGGAGGGACCCTTAATGGGGACCCCTACCCTATAATGGGCTATATAATGGGTATATAATAGCTATATTAAGGGTATATACCTAGGGGTCCTTATTAAGGGTCCCTCCTTTTACCCTTGGATTCGCGGTTCAGGGCTTACCTTGGAGGTCATGGGGCTTAGTAAGTAAGGTTATAAGTACCTTAATTGGGTTATAAGTAGCTATAAGTATAGTGACCCTAATAATGAACTTAGTGACTAAGTCCCATGATCCTTTAAGTAGGGTCTAAGGTTTAGGCTTAGGAGTTAAGGTTTCAGGTTTAGTGGTTTGGGTTTAGAAGGGTTAGGGGTTTTAGCTGGTTAGGGTTTAGGGGTTAGGGGTTTCGGGGTTAGGAGTTTAGGGGCTTAAGGTTTATAGAGATTGGGGTCTTAGAGGTTTATGCAACGTCCCTGCAGATCCGGAGATGCACGCAAGGATCCTAGGGTTTGGGGGGTTCGCGGCTTAGGATTTAGGGATGTCACATGGATGGTTGTCAAAATTATGATCCCTTTTTGGGTCCCCATTATAGTACGGCACCTAATATTTAAGGTGCCCAAAAAGGGACCCTAAGTTTGACAACCACCCATGACATCGCTCTGCGTCGCTTCGAGGCTGAGTCGCCATCTCTAACCTCAAAGCCCCGGTGCCCATGTGAGCTCCTACATGGAAAATCTGGGGTCCCTATAGTAAGGATCCTACTATTTTGGTCCTACTATTTTGGGTCCTATATTAGCGCCCCCTATTTTCGGAAACTCCCACATCCTGCAGGCTCTACTGCAGGCTCTATGTCCTGAACCACAAGTCCCAAAGCCTAAAATGCCTAAAATCCCTAAATCCTACGCCCCAGAGCCTAGAAACGTTAAACCCCAAGCCCTAAAGCCGAATATCCCTAAACCCCAAGCCCTGAAGACTAAAAACCCTAAACCCCAAACGCCTCCCCAGTACATGTAGGCGCCGTCCGCGGCTCCGGCAACTCCTGGTAGCTCGGTTTCGCTCTGGTAGGCACACATTGCAAAAGGCTTAGAGCCAAAGCCTACGCCGCTGCGAACCAAACCCCGAAACCTAGGGTAGACGCCTGAAGCAAAGAGGAATCCCATTTCGGCACCACTGCGACGGAAATCCTGACCCCGTGAACCCCTGTCTTTTTCCCTCGGAACACCCCAAAACCGCGAAAAGACAACCGACTACAGGCTTCGCCGGCTGCGGGTCCATTTATGACGCCGGCGATGAAACTGGCAACCATGACGATGATGACGGTGATGCTGATATTGATGATGATGACGATGATTATGACGGCGACGATGATAATGGTGACGATGATGAGGAGGAGAGAGAGAGGAAGGTGCCCATCAAGCTGAGGATGAAGATGAGCATGAAAGAGAATCTGATGATTGCGCAGATGCTCATGCTCGTGCTGTGATGTCGCTGATTGAGATATTCAAGATGGTGATGATGATGGTGGTAACGAAAGAGGAGCACGAGGAGGAGGAGGAGGAGGAGGAGGAGCAGGAGGAAGCGGCGGAGGGGCAGCAGCAGCAGCAGCAGGACGAGCAACAGCAGCAACCAATCCGGAGCAGGAGCAGTAGGAAGAGGGACTTGCAAACCTGAATCCACCAGCCCCGACAACTGCGAAGCTCTAAACGTCGAGTCCTTCAGGGTTTGACAGGATGTTGGCAGGTTTTGCAGGGCTATTTAAAAAAGGGGTTACCGCGTTCTATAAGGCTTTGTCCGGCTTTTTGTACTATCTTTACGGGGTTTGGGGGTTCTATGTACGGTTAAGGGTTTGGTGCTTGGGATTTATATAGGGCCAAAAAAAGATTTGATAGGGATCTAGACCACGGCACGGCACCTGAAGCCTTACAACAACAAATATCATCGAGTACGTGAAAGCCCTGAGCCAAAACATATTTAGGGGCCGAAATAAATATCCATACTTATCATAAATATAGTATAATTGGCCCCAAAACCCCATTCTAATCATGAAGGCCCGAGTGTTAAGCCATCTCACGATGAATCATTCCCTGATTCACAAGATTAGGGTTTAGGGTCCAAAAAACCCCCTCATCTCCCGAGCCCCTAAACAAGCAAGACCCGTAATCCCCATTTCCGAAACCGTGAAACACTAGAACCAAAACAACACCCCTGCAGAGCTTCGAGAAAATCTCTAATCCCGGAACACTAAACATTCAACCGCCTTAAACCCTAGACCCTAAACCCTAAACCCTAAACTCTAAACCCCTAAACCCTAAGCCTTAAACCCTTCACCCTGAACCCTAAACCCTAAACTCCCAAACCCACAACCCCAAATCCTCTTCTGGGCACTCGTCGTCCATGTCTCGGTCTTCGGGCAAGGCATCTGCGTCTGGGTTTCCTGACGCTTCGGGTTTAGGGTTGCCAGAGACTCCAATATCCCTTAATTAAGGAATATACCTTAAATTATAGTAGGATCCCTAATATGATTTAAGGTATATTCCCTAATTAAGGGATATTGGAGTCTCTGGGTTGCGGGTTTAGAACTCAAGACTTAAGGTGAAGGTGCAGGGTCTAGGATTCACGGCTCAAGGTTTAGGGCATGCGTTTTGCGGGTGATGGGGTCCGGGGATTGGAGCTCATGGCTGCCAGATTTTCGGTAGCAGAGGGTTTAGGGGTTTGGCGGTTTAGGGTTCAGGGTACAGGATTTAGGGTTTAGGGGTTTAGGTTCAGGGGTTTATGGGCTCAGGGGTTTAAGACCTTTGTTGTTTTGGTTGAGGTATGGTACTAGCAGCACTGATGACATAACGAGGCGCATGAAATGTCAGGAGCATTTAAAAAACAGTTGACATGGTCCCTTCCCCCCTCCCGCTCTCTCCCTCTCCTCTGTCTTTTCTGTCCACGGTGCATTTATATCAAAAGCGCTTTGGTACGCTCGTCCACTCGCTTCGCTGGCGGCTTTTGTCAGCAGACCTCTGAGATTCCTTCCCGAAGCAAGCAGCGAATTTCCGTAACCAGATGCGCCCGCAATCGTTGATCCTGTCGAAGCAGCTGAATGCCGGTAGGCAGCCAAAAACAGCAATAAATGTTGCTGTCTTTGGCTGCCTACCAGCATTCAGCTGCTTCCACAGGATCAGCGATTGCTGTGGGGTTCTAGCACGAAGAGCATTCTCTTTTTCAGACATTGTTCACACTTAAGTTCGCGCAAATCCACCTATGTCTTCGAACGCATGCAGTGCTCGATGTGCAGGGACACGTGCCAGCGCCTCATCTCCAAACCTCACGCACCCAAGTGGGGACCAGCAGTCAGGTACAGGAGCAACGTGTGAGCTGTGCTCAGCCCAGCACCAGGCAAGGCTGCAGAGATATGTCCAGTTAACCCCATAACCAACATGGGGAATTACATCTTGAACACGGCCGATCGCATCCCAAAAGAAGAGGCGCTTGGTCGCCGGTCCATCTCTCAGACAGCACCCCACCTGGCCCACCATCTGAAGAAAGTCATCCGGAAAGCTTGCAAGACATAGCTAATACAGGGGCCTCAATAATTAGAATAAGGCTTTGGGCCCCATTATACTATAAATATAATAAGGAACCGCCAAAATACTATAGGTAATTATGAAGGCCCCCAAAATAGCTAGCTTCCTCCCATGCCGGTCTCAGAGGGAAGCAACTGTGGATTGACCTGCTGCTCTTGTCTCAATTTCGGGCTTAGGGTTTAGTTTCATCGACATCTTCACCAAACGAGAGACACAGCATTTCCACTATCTCATGATGGCTCATTACTTCTGCCGCTTGCAGTGGCATGACGCAGCATCCTAGGAGATCAGTGCAGCGAATGCCTCATGAAATCACCAGCGTTCAAGAGGGCTTCGAGCCACTCCTCACCCGCAGCGGCTCAAACAGCATGTGACTTGCTTGCGATGCCCCAAAAGGTCGCGACGTCGCTGCATTGCTCGGCACCAAAATGCCACCAACAGAGGCACTGAGACACATGCCGTCGGGCACAGCCTGTTTGAATATCTCCTGTCTTCAAGATTTCTTCTGGATGCATCAAGCATACCGAAAAGCCGTGGCTGCGGGTGCCAGGAGTCAATGCAAGACATGCGAACGCGCATGATATCACCTGCAGGAGAGCTGGGGGTATAGGAAAATCGTCAAGGCTCGGCATTCGTGATAGTCGTCCTTTGAAACATAAAAAACAACAGAGACCACGAGGGTCATCCTCCCCATCGGCATCATCATCAGCAGCATCATCATCGCCATCGTCACAATCAGCATCGTCACCATCGTCGGCGTCATCGTCGTCGTCATCGTTGTCACTATCGGCGCCGTCTTGATCAACCTCAGTCACCAGTGTGGCTTGCACTGGCACCATCAGTCTCAACCTCATTCAGTGTTTCTCCTCGCAGTGCCTCGCAGTGCGGCCAAACCTATGCCAACTGTCATTATCATAAGCATCCTCGTTTGATAGGGTCGCCGGTAACCCGCAACCCGCAATGCCTGACTGAAGCCCTAGCCTACTTGGAGGATCCTGGGACTTAGTAAGTAAGGTTATAATTACCTTCATTGGGGGTATAAGTAGCTATAAGTATAGTTACACTAATAATTACCTTAGTTGCTAAGTCCCATGATCTCTTAAGTACCCTCATAGCCTGTCCTGCTTCGGCGTGGTCTTGGACTTCTGGATCCGGCTCCTCTGCCTCCTCTGCTATTTCATCGTCCTTCAAAGGTTGACCGCTTCAGGGTTTCGGGGTTTAGGGTTTCGGGTTGTGGGTTTAGGTTTAGGCTTTAGGGTTCAAGGGCTTTCGGCTTTAGGGTGCTTTGGGCTTGTGCATTTAGGCCTGGGGGCCTTTTGCAGGCCCTAGCGGTTCGTGCCAGGATCAGGAAAAAGTTAAATAAAACCTGAACCAAACGGTCTTCTGTCTGCTTAATAGGGAATGGGGGAATGGATCCCTATAGTAGTCCCTATATAACCCCCAATGATCGTCTCCATGATCCATTCCCCCAGTCCCTAGTAAGAGCCAGACAGTCTTGCCCCTAACGCCCAGGCACAAATCGCTAACATAGGGGCCTTAATAACTAGAATAGGATTTTCGGGCCCATCATACTATAATAAAAATAATAACAATAAGGAACCCCCAAAACAGTGTAGGTAATCATGAGGCCCCTGTGATAAACCCTGACCCCCTGAACCTTCAGCTCCATGAAATCCTTAAACCCCACTTCCCCAAACGCGCTGACACACCCTCCTCCTGACTCACTGGCCCAAAACCCAAGGAAATAAATGTTGAAACTTTCAGAATCGACTACCTTATAAGAACCCCAAAAGTTGAAAAGTTGAGTATACAGCCAATAAGCTGAACGATGATCTCCAAACTTGTTTGTCTCCCCAGTGACTGACCCTGAGCCCTTTCTCTTGAACCCAAGGCACTCAGACCCAGCTGTCCCTGAACTCAACAGCCTAAACCTTAAAGTGCGAAGACTTACGGATATGCCTCACCCAAAACTCCGACAACCCGGAGCCCCGACACCCCGGAACCCCGACACCCCTAAGCTCAAAGCCCCGCACGAATCCGTAAAAACTCGAAGCCGTTAACCCTGAACCCTAACGCACCCAACCCTAAACCACGCCACTGTAGTCGAAAGTGTGCAGTGCCACACTGCACGACCCCCAGAACGGTTGTGGTGGCCGGCAGCGATTTTCGGTGGCCGACGTTATGGATGTCATAGAGCTGTAGGCTACTACAACTTTGCACAATGACAATGATGATGGTAACAGTAAAAATACAGCCCAGCATGATGGTGAGGATGAGAGCCACACAACAGGCCCTAAGCCCTAATCCTACGGTTGATGATATAAACCCTGCATTACCTTAAGGACCCCAAACTATGGGAATTATGTTATATTCCTTATCATAGGTAATGCAGGATTTATATCATCAACAGTAGCAGTCCTCTGATTCCTCGGAGCTTGAAGAACCACTGCCGTCACCTCGGTGGGTCGAGTCTGTAACTTTTCGAACCCGAATGATTAGAATAGGGTTTCGAGTGTTGATAATTATTCAGGCCCTTATGTTATCTCTGAACATGAATGAGGGTGCTTGATTACTCTGCGGTCATCGATTTCTCAAACCCTTCCGGTCATGTGCTTATTCTGCGACAACACATGAACCAACTAACAGTGTGGACATGTGGGGAGATGTGGGTGGTGTTTCTTCTTCGTTTCTGTGTTTGCAATGCCCGGCGTTTTCCGAAATTCCAAACAGTTTTTCCGGGATATAATATCAACAACCCAGGAACCCGGTCCAATACCCCAAACCCTCCCTAAACCGCAATGATTTGGGCCTCGAGTTTACAAAAGATTTCGGATTCAGAATCGTGGAGGTTGTTCTTGCTGAGGTCCGGCGGGGGCTTAGGGTTATGTAAGCCTGGAATCGTCAACCCTCAACTCGAATTATCTGCTTGCCCGGTCCAATTGAAGCGTAGGCGGTTTAGGGTTTAGGGTTTAGGGTTTAGGGCTAGGGTTTAGGGTTTAGGGTTTAGGGTTTAGGGTTTAGGGTTTAGGGTTTAGGGCATAAAGTCTGAAGATTGCTATGAGGATTTACACAGGCTTTGGGGCTAAAGTAGCGCAGGGGTCTGACAAGTGCTCTTCGAGGGCTCTGAAAAGTTTCTGACAGTCTTTATAAGGTTTAATACGAGGAATGAGGGTTCAAAATTCGATAAGCAAACGTCGTTTTGTGTCTCGCCCGGTATCTTTGCAGACATGATTGTCTTTGACGGTTCTTCCTCCTCCTCCTCCTCCTCTTCCTCCTCCTCCTCCTCCTCCTCCTATTGCCGGTGTTGTCAGTCTTGTGTTCTCTGCTACTTCGAACATCTCAATTCAAGCTTGCAGGTACAATGACACACTTACCGCCCTTGTCAACGCCACTACCAACCCCTGGTACTGAAGCCACCAAACCTTCACCGTATAGTACACGATCCCTTGTTGGGGGCCTTCAGGGGGGCCCAGACACAGCTACGACCTGTGAGGGTGAGGGTTTAGGGTTTAGGGGGTCGATGTCAGAGGAGAGCCCACTAGCTCTTACGGGTTCCTTCTGGGATTCCGTTAAGGGTTCCTGGAAAGGTTCCTTTAAGGATTCCTTTACGGGTTCTTTTGAGGGTTTCTTTGAGTCTTCCTTTGAGTGTTCCTTTATGGCGGGGGCGGGGGTGGGCGTGTCAACATCCGAGAGCCCAAATAGACCTTTAATGAAAGACTGGGCCTTGAATCACAATAAGAAGCTGATGCCACGGTTTAGGGTTTAGGGGTTTAGTGTTTTCGGGTTTAGGTTTTAGGGTGTTATCTTCCTGCAACAGGAGTTGTTAAGCTCGCCGGAAGGTCAATGCAGGTGCTGGGATTTTGTTTGCACGACCTTGCTTTCTGCCGGAGTCTCGAGAATAGTGTTCGCAACTCTGCCAGCCATGATTTTGCATTCATATATACATATACACACACATATGTATGTATGTATGTATGTATGTATGTATGTATGTATGTATGTATGTACGTATGTATGTATGTATGTATATATATATATATATATAGATACATAGCCTATGGCTATCCAACATTCGAGCCACGAACTGTGCTACATCCGTATGTATGGCTGTGAACTTGGAGGCGTGAGCTGCACAACCTGTGATGATGCTCAGGCTGGCGACGACGACTATTACCCCTCGCATCGAGACGAGTACCAGTTCCAACGTTGGTATTAGCACCCGAACTCCGACCAAACGATGTCGTCACCACCTCTTCCGCATAATCTGACAAGCATAAACCCTGAATCCTAAGAGGACTCCAAACCCTACACCCTAAACCCTCGAAGCCCCTACACCCCAAATGCCGTCTAAACCTCAACACAGCTCATGGGCTCGAGGACGAGGAGGACGACGAAGAGGACAAGTCACCTCCAAAGCCGCAGCGATGGCTCAAGGGCTCTAGGGCTTGAGGGCTTTAGGGTTAAGGGCTTTAGGGATGCAGGGTTTGGCTTCAAGGGTGGCCTCGCTTTGACGAGGAATACTTCAAACGAAAACAATCATACTAATGATGGCACTCACATTAAACCTAATCTAAAATGAAACGTACCATGCGGAATGAAACTCATTGCCATCATTGTCAGAATTACGAACCAGTAATGACAACCAGCAGGAAAACAAGTTGATGATAAACAAGCCAGACTAGCAACCCAAACTAATAATAACAGTAATAACGATAATGAACACAAACGACACAACAGAGAAATCATAAACATGATCATAATGGTAATAGGAATGACATTGATAAACAAGTAGTAAAACAGTAATCATGTTACATATTAATAGTAGCAATTATACTGCTAAGACTCATAAGCAACCCAATAATGACTTTTAATAGTTTGATAATACTACAAGTAGTAGTAGGAGGACTAGCAGTCGGAGGAGTAGGAGTAGGAGTGGGAGTGGGAGTAGGAGTAGGGGTAGGAGTAGGAGTAGGAGTAGCAGTAGGAGTAGCAGCAGCAGCAGCAGCAGCAGCAGGAGGAGGAGGAGTAGTAGTAGTAGTAGTAGTAGTAGTAGTAGTAGTAGTAGTAGTGGTAGTAGTAGTAGTAGTCGTCGTCGTAGTAGTAGTAGTAGTAGTAGTGGTGGTAGTAGTAGTATGCTTACTATTATCATGATTATTGCCGTTATTCCTGTATTTTACCTCGAGTCATGCTAACGATAAGAACGAAAAGACTACTCATGGTAATGGGAATAATGGTAACAGCAACAATAGCAGTAGCACTAGGAAGAAGAAGAAGAACAAGCATAAGTTCAACACTATTATTAATGACAACGGCAATGGTAGGTGTCATGCTAGTAATAGTTATAGTAACAATAAACCTCTCAGGGTGTGCTTAAAATGTGAAAACGGAGGGGCCGGGTTTACCCCTGGAACCTAACAATACTACCCATAGTCCTAAACCCTAAACCAACCTTACACCCTAAACCCTAAACCAACCCTAAACCCTAAACAAACTCTAAACCCTGAACCAACCCTAAACCCTAAACCAAACCTAAACCAAACCAACCCTAAACCCTAAACCCTAAACCCTAAACCAACCATAAACCCTAAACCCTAAACCAACCCTAAACCCTAAAACCCAGCCTTCCGAAGGCTCGGAGAGTTCCAGCCAGGGCTCGGCGGTAGCCGAAGAGGCGGACGTCATCTCCGAGGTGGAGTAGGGTTACGGTTAGGGTCGCTTAGGTTAGTTAGGTTAGTTAGGGTTATGGTCAAATAGGTTAGTCAGGGTTAGGGTCAGGGTTTTTGGGTTAGGGTTAGGGTGAGGGTAAGGGTCAGCGTTATTGTTAGGGTAGGGGTTAGGATAAGGGTTAGGGTTAGGGTCAGGGTTGGGGTTAGGGGTAGGGCTCGTAAGTGTCTGTGTGTGTGTGGGGGTTAGGGCTTAGGGTGTAGAGTTTAGGATTTGGTTTAAGGTTTACAGTAGGATTCAGGGCTTAGGGTTTCGGGCTTACGGCTTGGGGTCATCTCGCGGGTGATGGTAGTGGGGTGGTTAGGGTTTAAGGGCATCTTGCGGGTGGTGATTGTATGGTTTGAGTTTGGGGCTTCGTTGATTGTTGTTCGGCTCCTCTTGTTCCTCAGAACCCGAAACACTGAACAGCCTAAACCAACAAACTTCGGCGGTTCCTCGGAACTGCTTTCTCGTGGGTTCAGGGTTTGGGATTTAGGGTGTGGCGGCGGATTTGACGAGGACTCCATCAAGCAACGCCTTAGCGAAGGAAAGGATTAAGGATTAAGGTGGGAAGCACAGAAAACCAACAAACCTGCCTACTGAAGCTCAAGGCACCAGTTTTGCAGGGTTTTGAGGGCCGCAGTCAGGTGATGAACCCGGTTTCCGATAATTTCACGCAGCTGCCAGATGAGATGACTCGGGTTCAGAGAAGTAGGGTCTAAGAAACTTAAGGTCCAAAGTAAGGGCAAGCTGCCATGTTCCGAAGCGTTAGAAGCCCCCTGCGCCCGAACCGCACACAAGAGTCAACGGCAATCTGAACTCTTACAGTGCCCGTCTCAAAAGCCAGATATGCACTACACCGTAAGCCTTAAACCCGCAAACCCAAATCCCAATGCCGTAAAAGGTGAACCCCAACCCCGTGATCGTGGTACAGACGCGTGCAACTGCTTCGATCTAAAACATTTGTGGAAGCCATCAGACTCTGGAAGAATGGGCTCAGGCCCCGAGATTGAAACCCCATTGCACCCCCAAAGTGCGACCTGGTACCGCCCTATGAATATCCCAGTAAACCCCCCCCCCCCTGACCAAACACGGGGCGGTTCTGCCAGAGAGCCAATACCTGATGCCCCGTAAAGTACCCCTAAACCGCAAACCCCTAAACCCCTAAACCCCTAAACCCTAAACCCTAAAGCCTAAGCCCCACTATTTCACGACTCAGAATAAGAAGCCCGGAATGGTCTAAGCAATGCTCCTCAATAAAGGAGCTCCCTGGGCTCTCTGAACCCCCACCCACGGCTTAGGGTTTAGGGTTCCCTTGGCCGACTACTACCTGCTTAGCCAACGAACTCCATCCCCAAACTAATCGCAACTTCAGGAGATAGCTTCGTTGTTTTTGCAGATACCCGATGTTCCTAAACCCTAAACCGAGGGCTTTTGGGGTGGGGCCTCCAGGGGTTAAGGGATATCTGCTTCAGGGCCTTAGGTTTCCAGGCGTGGGCCGTACAGCTCGCCGCTCCGAAAATTGAAACAAACCCTAAACCTTGTCCTATTCCGGAAACTCCCATATAAACCCCTTAACCCTAAACCCTAAACCCTGAAAGAAACCCTAAACCCTGAACCCCTATATGAACCCCTAAACCCTAAACCAAAACACTGAAAACGGTGGATGATATAAATCCTGCATTACCTTAAGGACCCTAAACTATGGGAATTATGGTATATTCCTTATTATGGGTAATGCAGGATTTATATCATCAACCGAAAGCTCCGAGTTCCTCGGAGTCGTTGTCGCTCTCGCCGCCCTTCCCAGCAGTCGAAACACGAAGGCTCGGAGATATGGTTGATGACATAAATCCTGGTTCCTTTAAAGGGATCTATGAGGGTACCTTTAAGGGGTTCCTTTAAGGGTTCTATAGGGGTTTAGGTTTTAGGGTTTAGGTTGATGATATAAATCCTGCATTACCTTAATGACCCCAGACTTTAGGAATTATGGCATATTCCTTACTGTGCTATGGGTAATGCTGATGATATAAGCCCTGCATTACCTTAATGACCCTAGACTTTAACAATTATGGTATATTCCCCACTATGGGTAATGCAGGATTTATATCATCAACCGTAGCATTACAGGGGCCTTACTGAGTAGAATAGTTCAGAGGTCTACCGGTGTGTAGGGCTAAGTAGGATGTGGGGCCAGTGTGGGGCTCTAAGCGCGCCGGTAATTTCTTGGAACCCCAAGAAATAGGGTTGGTCCTTACTTCAGCTCCTAAACCCTAAACCCTAAGTCCTAAACCCTGAACCCTAAACCAAGAAGTTGTTCTTAAACCCCCAAGCCTCGATGCCGTAACTTGCTACAACCCCTGGGCCTCACAGCTCAAGGCTTCTCATGGTTAGTAGGATAACTATAGGTATAGTCACGCATAGTTGGGGACTTGATAACTATAGTTCAACACCATAATAGGGTTCTTATGACCCCTCTTATAGGGTTCTTATGACCCCTCTTATAGGGTTCTGATGACCCCTCTTAAGACTGCCCAGAACCTCCAAGTACCCATATGCCCGGTCTGTGCACCTCCTGTCCATGCCGAAGTTCCCTGAGCCCTGGGCCCAGGCTCTCAGTACTGGCGTTAAGGCAGCTCTGAAGCTCTGAAACCCTTCGAACTCCTGTAAAACTCTGGAAATCCTTCATAACATCCGCACCACGTTTCAACCCAGAAAACCCTCATAACATCCCTCATAACATCCTCTAAGAACCCTTTCAGCCTCTCTGTCCTGCATCTGTAAACCATCCTCCCTCTTCTCGTCTTGGGACAGGCACTGGGACGGGTCCTGGAAACGGCCGCAGGCATTCGTAACTTTGGGGTTTGGGTTGTCGGCTTATATATGGTTTATGGTCTGGGGTCTAGGGTGGATTTGGGGTTTATGGCTCTTCACGATTAGAATACGGCTGGAGTTAAAGCTACGAGTATAACTGTTAAGGGACTTTCAAGGGAAATTGTTGCTCACTACTCCAACCCATGCATAAGGCTCTAGAAATTTACCCTAACCCCTAAACCCTAAACCCTAAGCCCTAGGGCTCTTTAGGGGATGTCAGGGTTTGGGTTTCAAATCTCAGGCTTTCGAGTTTGCGGTTCAGTGTCAGCGCCACACACAACGTCAGGGCCTTAATAATTGGAATAGGGTTTTGGGGATTCCTACCTTAGGGGGTACCTTATTTTGGGGTCCTTATAATAAGGATCCTACTATTTAGGGTACTAAATTATTTATAGCTCTAGTATAATACTCCTCCAAACCCTGTTGTACTTATTAAGGCCCCTACATTAGAATGCTTGGATGGGGGATCTGGGTTTCAAGAGCAGCAACCTAGCGATTCCAGTGCTCCTGGGATTCTCGGTGAAGCCAAGAAGTCAGAACATCCTTGCCTTGAGGTAAAGTAAAGGGAATCCTAGCACGGGTCATTCTTCATCCACGTTCGCACTTTCTGGGGTCCATTATAACCCTAAACCTGAGACCCTAAACCTTAGGTTTAAACCCTAAAGCCTGAACCCTGAACCCTAAACCGTAAACTGCAGGTTGTGTCCGCCTTCCCCGCAGAACCATAATAAGAATAGCAGTTTCACGATTCTCTTGGGTTTTATATGAACAAAAAATATAAATAAAAAAACTAAGGACAGTCCTGAATGCCGCCGGCTCCCGTCTCCGGCTGCTCAGTTGGCGCCGGCGCTGGCTGATGATACGACGTGACATCGGCGGATTCGAGGGCCACCTGCCAAAAGCAAACCAATCTCAAAACTTAAGCCTTCAAGAACTCCTGGTTCCTTTAAAGGGATCTATAAGGGTACCTTTAAGGGTTCCTTGAGGGGTTCTATAGGGGTTTAGGTTTTAGGGTTTAGGTTGATGATATAGATCCTGCACTACCTTAATGACCCTAGACTTTAGGGATTATGGTAGATTTCTTACTGTGCGATGGGTAATGCTGATGATTTCAGCCCTGCACTACCTTAATGACCCTAGACTATGGGAGTTATGGTATTCAAGTTATGGGTAATGCAGGGTTTTTTATCACCGGCCGTAGAACTTCAAAAGGGACTTTGGGTTCGGGGCCTGGGATTTAGGGTTCAGGGTTTAGGGGGTTTAATGGGTTTAGGATTTAGGGTTTAGGGTTTATTAAGATTTAGGGTTTAAGAGGTTTAGGGGTTTAAGGGGTTTAGGATTTAGGGTTGAGGGTTTATTAAGATTTAGGGTTTAGGGTTTAGGGTGCTGGGAAAACTACTTCACGAAGTTCCCGGGCGGGTCGCCTTTGGAGTCACTGAGTCACGGAGCTTCGGCTTGAGATTGTCTGTGGCGTCTGGCGCCCGCCACTGCGCCCCTGGACCCTGAAACATAAGTCGGTCTAGACAATGCGGCGCAAGTAGAACCCACAGCCGCACCAGACCTCTGAAACATAAGTCCTAAGTAGCTAAACCCGAAACCTAAGTCATCAAGCCTTGCAACGGGAATGCAGCAAGCAGAAGCATCGCGAACCTCGTATATGCCCTAGGGGCTTGAGCAAAGTGCAGTAGCTGTTGCCCTAAACCCCAAGCCCAGGCCCTAAGCCCTAAACCCCCAAACCCTGAAACCCTAACCGCCCTAACCTGCACCCCTAAACCCTAACAAGACCCAAGAGTAACCCAGGCATAAAAAGGATGCCCTTTTTGGTTTAAAGGGGCTTATAAGGGAACCTGAACCCTAAAAAAGGGAATAAGGGCCTACTCTGGGTCCTTGCTAAACCCCTAAACCCTAAACCGTGGCCTACCCGAGGGCCTTCCGGCTCCGAAGAAGATAAAGCTCAAAATGCCGCACTTCGGAACACCCTTGACCCAAAACTCGAACCCCTAAAAGCCCTCAACCCCTAAACTCCGAAAACATCCCTGAACCCCTGCAGCTTAAATCCAAAGCCCTAAGATCCTCATTTCCAAATCCTCGCTAAGCCGAAAACTCCTGAACCCTAAACGGTTCAGGGTTTCAGGCGTGCGGAGAAACATGGCCTAGAGCAGGAAGGGCAAAAACAAAAAATCCGGTTTGCCTGTGTGCTCGGAGCACAGCCGGCAGCCAGGCGCTTCCGTGCCAGCGCTGCCTGGCCACGGGGTGCTTGCAGAGAAGTTTTAAGCTTGGGGTTGTTACGGATTCAGGGTCCCGGGTTCTGGGGAGCAGGGTGTCTTCAAGGGTCTTGATATTAGTTTCTGTCCGTAAGGTACGGGTGTATGAATCCGGGTCTGCCTTAGGGTTTAATATTTGGGGCCTTGATCACTCCTAAACCCAAGCCCACGCTGGGGCTTCCGGAATTTAGGCTTTAGTTTAAGGCTTCCGGAATTTAGGATTTAAGTTTAAGGCTTCCGGGATTTAAGCTTTAAGTTTAAGGCTTCTGGGATTTAGGGTTTAGGATGCTTTATGGGTTTTTGTGGATCTAGGGTTTAGGATTTGGAGTTTGGGGTTTAGGGTTGCTGGGTCCAGGGCTTAGGAAACAGCACAGGGATGGCTAGGATCGAAGTATAGAGGCCCCTCAGTGACCGTAAGTACCGCGGAGATACTCATACAAGAGTGAATAATACGTGCCTCCCCAGCCCTTCAACACTTTCAACTTCCGGTACATTTTGGCTTGGCAGTACTTACAGGTTCATAGCTCGGGCAGCTGCACCCCAGCCACTGAAAGCCTTGCGTATCTATCCATGGGAGTTTTCAGAATCCATAGAATCCAGAGGGCCAAAAGCTGAACATCCAAAACAGAATTAAAAGCTCAAACCGACTCAAACCCCCTAAACACCAAAAAAACAAAATCCCAAACCCCAAAGCCCCCCCCCCCTCCAAAAACAAAAAAAAAGCATCATCAGGATCCTTGGCCCTAGCTGTACATAAGGAACCCAGGTGTCCAAAACCGCCCAAAATCATCACGAAACTCACAGACTCTACTTGGAGGTTCAGGGGCAGTTGTAGGTGGGGTTTAAGTCCCCTCATATGGGTTTAAGCGTAGTTACCCTACTTATAACCTTACTTATAACTACCCATGAACCTCCAAGTACGTTCAAAGGAAACCCAAGATCTTCCTACCCTAAGCCCTAAACCCTAAACGCTCAATCCTAAGCCGAAAGTCGTGACCCACCCTAAGCCGAAAGCCATGAAACCCGAAACCCTAAGCCCTAAACCCCTGAACCCTAAACCCTAAACCTCTAAACCCTAAACCCTAAAGCCCTAAACCCGAAAGCCCGAAACCCTAAGCCCTAAAGCCCTGAACCCTAAACCCTAAACCTCTAAACCCTAAACCCTAAAGCCCTAAACCCGAAAGCCCTAAAGCCCTAAGCCCTACAGGCCTGAACCCTAAAATGTCTTAAATCGGCCTAGGGTTTCGGACCCGGGGCTCACATCTTGAGATGCCCAACATCACACACTCCCAAGGTTCAATTCTGAATCCCAGCAAAGCCTCGACACAATGCGTCGATCTGAAGATCCGTAAGATCGCACGCCCTCAACCCTAAACCCCGAGACTCTAAAGCTCTGAACCTCAAACCCCTTACGATCCCCCACCCAGCCCTGAAGCGCAGGACTTGGTTCTCCAATATCCCGTTAGTGATGAGAGGGTGCCCCTGTCTCCTACGACTCACTGCCAAACAAGGAAGCCCCAACAGCAAAGGAGCCGAAAACTGCTGCCTGTTAGCGTTTAAGGTTTAGGCTTCAATCTAGACGATCCTAAACTCTCATCAGCAGAGCGCCACCTCGCGATTCAGCCTGATGCGCTCGAGCTGCTCCTCTGACAGAGCTGGCTGCGCGCCTGGGAGGGGTTTAGGGTTCAGAGGTGTGCCTTACTCAGCATGCCCCAAACCCCCCCTAAACCCTAAACCCTAAACCCTAAACCCTATACTAAACCCAAAACTAAACCCTAAACCCTAAACCCAAACCTAAACTCCCCAAACTGTGAGACTTCCGATGTCCGAGGGCTCCCACCTGCTGCGGCCGGGGTAGGCGGACCAGTCCGAGCTTGGCTGGGGGTCGCCTGGCCTCAGGTATGCTTGGAGGTCCATGGGTAGTTATAAGGGTTCCTTTAAGGGTTCCTTTATAGGGATCTCTAGGGATCCTATAAGAGTATAGGGTTTAGGGTTCATGGGTAGATATAAGTAGGCTTATAAAAAAGGTAACTATACCTATAACCCATATTAGGGGACTTATGACCCTACTTATAACTACCCCTGAACCTCCAAGTATGAGGTTGGGCTTGCAGCTATGGGTGGGAACGGACCCAGGAGCCCGGGTCGGAAGTTAGGATTTACCTTAAGCTACCCAAACCCCACTTGTATGAAGGTTCCTCTTATGAATCCTAGTACAGAATTTTCGGGACCCTACAAAAAAAGTAGGTTTTGGTAGTCTGAAAGGCCCTTCAAACACTGAAACCGCATACAGAAAAACCTTAAACCCTAAACTCCTAAACTCCTCAACCCTAAACCCTCAACCCTAAACCCTAAACCCTAAACCTCTAAACCCTAAAGCCCAGGCACGCTGCAGCCTTCGCTCCAAGGCCTGTTGCCGCTTCTTCTCGAGGAGAAGCTGGCGAAAGAGGAGGCGAAAAAACGCCCTAAATCTTGGTTGGGCTCGTAGGGAATTAAAGGGGCCTTGTAAAGGGGTCTATAAGGGTTACGATAAGGGTACTATAAATATTGGGGTTTAGTGGCTTTAGGGGTTTAAGGGTTTAGGGATTTACATAGGGGATTAAGGATTTATTAGGGGCTTAGGGTTTAGAGTTTAGGGTTTAGGGGGTTCGGGGATTGGGTTCTTGTTGAGGAACCTACTTAAGCTGCTAGAAAAGCAAGAGAACCACATTATTTACTACAAATCTCTATTAGGGTTCTTGATGAGGAACTTAGTTTAAGCTCCTATAAACTAAGGATACCACATTAGTTGCTATACTTGGGTTCTTGTTGAGGAACGTCGTAAGTTAAGTTACTACAAAAGAAGGAAGCCACATTATTTATTATAGATTCGTAGTATGGTTTTTAAAGAAGTTCCCTACCAAGAACCCAGAATATCGCAGCCGCCACATTAGTACCAGCATCCCCTTGTAGCCCCTATACGTCCATGCTACAATAGACCCCAAAACCCTCTTCAAATCATCAAGGCTGCTCTGGTGGGGCCCGAAGCTACGCATTCGGCCATTTTGGGTGGCTTGGCTTTTGCAGCGGTTTCCCAACGAGCTTTGGATTTCGGCTCTTGGGAATGTCTACCTGTAGCAATTGGTTGATGTGAAGACACCTCCAAGTTTAGGGCTCTTCACTGTGAAATCCATAAATTTAGGGGCCGGGAGCCGGCGCTCCGACGATCACCACGCACGAGAACGTACGCAGGCCGATGACAGCCGGCCAGATAACATCGCCGCGATGACAGCACTGCCGATTGGGCGGAGCCGGTGGGATACCGGCGTATGCACCGCCCGCGGCAGCTTGTGTCATCTGTAGTTCAGGCCCGTTCTGGAATGGGCTCCCGGCCACCACGCAAATTGCTTGCAGGTAGTCTCCTGTGAGATCCCGGTTGTAATTGGGGACGACTACGTAATCTTCTCCGTCGAAGTTGCGTTGTATCCACGGTATGAGCACGCTGTCTGCATCGATTGGCGGAGGTGGTGCCACCGGAAATGGAGGCATTGGCGCTGCAGCTGGCGCTGGCTGTCTATGAATAGTTAGAATAGGGTTTAGGGGTAAGTTATACTATAAATTATACTAAGGAATCCCCAAAGAGTTTAGGTCATTACCAAGGCCCCCAGATTTTACAACTCTTAACGACAAAGGGTCTTGTAGGTTGCTGGTTGGGTTTGGGCATTCAGGGTTTCAGGTAAGCGCTTGTTGTACAGATGGAGAATGTTAACTGGGCCTCCAATTTGACGGAAATGCCTAAAACATTGTAATTAACATCCTCTTCATCAGAACTAGCCACACAGCGAGCGGAGGACTGCACCACAATATCAAGCATCCTTTACGACCCAGAGTCTTTTATGTTCGTGGTTCTTTCTGAGGGTTGGATCGCAGGGGACTGACCCCGTTCAGCTGGTTCCGAGACAGCCCCTGGTAGCTCTAAGGCTTCTTGTACAGGAGATAACCTGAAGCTGCACATGTAGGGAAAGCATTCTGCGTACTCGCGAACCTGTTGTGGCAACTTGGCGTGGGTTCCCTAGGCCCAGCATACAGCAGAAGGGGGGCTCAGTTTGCATGTTGCCTGCTGCTCGGGCGTCAGCTGCGGTCGCCTGATGCGGCAAGACAGACTAAAAGAGGCTTTGCAGCTTTGGGTTTCGATTTTTGAGGCTTGGGGTTTTTGGTTGAGGGTGTAGGGTTTAGGGCTTCCCGCAACCCTAAACCACAAACCGTAAACCCCTGGAGCCTCAGGGGTTTAGCGGTGTAGCTCTCTCAGGTATCCGGACCTCTGGGGATGAATCTTGTCAACCCCAGGATTTGGAGCTTCGAGTTTAGAGTCTGCGGCTTTGGGTTTAGGCTTTGGGGGCTAAGGGTTGAGGGTGGGGCTTAGTGCTGAGGGTGGAGTTTAGGGTTGAGGGCTCGGTTCAGGGATTACGGCATAGCCTACGGTTCAGGGTTTCAGGGTTTAGGGCTGAAGGTTGAACCGGGACAAAGTCATCGCGAAGGTCTGGACGTGAAACCTTGTGCTTCGAAGTTCAACTTCAGGGCTCCACTTTTCTGTGGTACTTAAAGGCTCATGGGACTTAGTAACCAAGGTTACTATTAGGGTAACCATACTAGTAAGTACTTATAATCCCAATTACGGTACTTATAACCATACCAACTAAGTCCCATGATCCTCCAAGTATTTTGGGTTTGGGGGTCTAGGGTTTTGAGTTTGAGGCGTATATAGGGTTTAAGTACTTCTACACGTGAAGGAGCTCCAGGACAAACCCTGCCGCGAGACCTGCAGACCTTGGCTCGAATCCTAGAAACCGCGTTTTCCCTATAATCTTGGCAACCTAAACCCTAAACCCTAAACCGAATAAGCCTCAAAACCCCAACCCCAACCCTGAATCTGAAACCCCAAACCCTAGTGACAAGGTTCCATACTTGCCCCGCCTCTTATACCCCAACCTTGAACCCTGAACCCGAAACCCCAAACCCCACAAACCCTAAACCCCAAACCCAGAACCCCCAAACCCCTAAACACTTTATAGAACCCTTATAGATCCCTTTAAGGAACCCTTCAAGGATCCCTTTAAAGAACCCTAAACCAAAGATCTTGGGGCCTTGCCTTTGGAACTCGCATCCCTCATCGGACAGGCTTTTCTGTCTTTTCAGCGCACGCTCCTGGCGAAGGCAAAAACCAGAATAGGGGGTAGACGAAACGGTGTAGAAATTTGTCGCTTCCTCTGTCCTTCGCCCTAAAAGAGCCTTTGTATGGACTCAGTTGGAGCACACCTTCATGCAATGTCTCTCAGGTGCTGTTTTCAACAAATCTTCGGCATGGTGCCTACCCCTACTCACTCCAAATCCTGCTCAGACCTCCGCCACTACCACCCACATCTAAATCAGCGATTTGAGTGGTTGTCAAAATTATGGTCCCTTTTTGGTCCTTACTATAACACGGCACCGAATATTCAGGGCGCCCAAAGCGGGACCCTCATCTTGACAACCACCTATTTGTCTCGTGGTGCACCAGGCCCGGCGCTTGGCCGATGCACACCGTTTCCAAGCTGGATACCGATTTTTTGTAGCGAGGTGGTGTTCTCCGGCGTGAGTTAGGAAGCAATAGCTTTGGCAATGAAGCTCTTTAGGTGCCATCTGCGTGGGTAGACCCCTGATGAACCCTGAACCCTGTACGTCTTGGCTTGAACTGATGTGGTTCTTTGTGTGGAGCACGAACTGCAGTGTCCCGGTTCTGGTTGAAGGAAAGTATGTTACCAGAGGTGAAACGACCGACTTGATGCTTGTGGAACCTACGACTGTGCAGCTGTTGAAAACTTTTAGGTACTTTATTTCCTGTATTGAGGCGCGATTTCAACTCGCATTTGTTCCACATGTCAAAGTCAAAACCACCGCTTCGACCGCAAAGTTGAGCTGGTCGCAGCGCACACCCAGTTTGACAAGCAGGCCATGTCATGAGTCCTTTTGTTTCCACGCGGCTTTTGTCGACCTCCGTAGGCAATTATCCACGAAGACATCGGTAAAGAGGCCAAACTTGTCATTCCGACCTGACTTGTGAGATATTAATTCATTGTTAATTCGTCGTGAGTAATTCGTTTCTTTGATGTCGGCTCGTTAATTTGGTGCTTTATTTCGTTGAAGCGTTGTCTCGGACTGATACTGTACAAAAGGCATAGAGGCCCGCATCGCTAGCCTCGTTGCCCGTGGACCGACCGACCACACAAGTGCGGATGAACCCTGAACCCCCAACCCCTAAACCCCTTAAACAGCTCGAAGAGAGAGCTTACAGAACAGTATAGAACCGCCCTAAACCACCCAAACCAAACCCCGCAAAGCCCCCGAACCCCCAACCTGACCTCAACCCTAAACCCGAGACCCTCAGCCCTAAATCCCTCAACCCTAAACCCCAAAACGAAACAAAAGAAGAGGGATCCTCCTCGGCCATTGGCACATCGGCTCAGGTCCTTATCTGCCCTCGATGTGTTCAAGGTATTGCTAACTCTAGCCCTAAACCCCACGGCCACGCCTGAGCCTCCATCGGGCGTTACTTTAGCGCGTAGGGTTTCATAGGGTTCATGACGCTTTACTTGGGTTCGCTTTGTCCGAGACTTCAAACGATTTGTGAAAGGGTTTGTAGGGGGTGTTTAATTTTGTAGAGCATGTTGAGAGCTTCCTAGAGACTTTGGTTGTCTTTAGAACTTTTGCTCTGTTGGTCTTTGGGTGGGTTTCGCAGGTTCAGGCTTTGGATTTTCGGGCTGAGACCCTAAAGCAATGTACCTTCAAAAAAAGATATGACCCTGAAAAGGTACATTCACCTTTCTGGACCTTTCTCTTGAGGTACCTTGCTTACCCTAGGCAAAACCTAAACCATAGACCCTAAAACAGTTTTCATGACTGGAGACTTCTGAGCCAAAGCATCAGTCATGTGGCTGGGTTTGTGGGCAGAGACTTTGTGAAGGCTTGGTGTCTGTCGAACACCAGTGCAGCAAAACAACCCACCTTCGGGAAGGAATTCGAGAAGGGAAACCGCTCCCAGTGCGAAGCCCGAAATTCTTTTGAAGAACCAAAATGCACACGAACCCGTGCACCTGGTGCCTTTGGAAGCAGACCTAATCATCTTCACCACAGAGCACACGGATCCGGGATCAAAATATCGAAACGGGGCGTAAGTCCGTTTTTCGAGCTCTGGAGAGACAAGGTGACAGTCCAACGACTCAGAAACCGATCACAGTCAGGCAGCAAAAGCCACTGTTGCATACTATAACAGACTCTGCTCTTTCACAAAATGTTTTCATATACTATACTATATACTATACCATACTATCCTATACTATACTAGAAAACGTTGTAACATACTATCTTCTGCGATACTGCTTTGTAACGTACTTGAAGACTGTACCAAAGAAGTCCTGAGGTCCTTAGCTCAGCCAACGGTAAACCCTCCAACGCTTCGCTTCCAAGATCAGTGAACAGGAGTCTTTACATGATCGCAGCAAGGCTAGATTTAGGGTTTAGGGCGCTTTCTTTTAAAGTGTAATGGCCCTTGCTCCAGGTTTAGGGTTTAGGGACTAGACTGTTAACCAAAGTAGCAAAAAGAAAGACAACAATGATGCCTGCTATTCGAAGGACTGCTTGTGCGCCTCTGCAAATAACAGGTAAGTCATCAAAGTGTACATATACATATCTGTATGTACATATGCATATAACGGCTTATCCGCAAGGCCTTCATCACAATTCCACTAGCAAGACAGAGACACACACACACACACTTTTCTGGCATGAGCAGAGGTCTGAAAGGGCGGTTGAGTGCCTGCCTTGTGGAAAATCCCCACTGTGCGAGGCTTCGGTTAAGGTCTTCTTCATGCGTGTTATCAGAGGTCTTGTAAAGGTCCCATAAAGCCGGGCTTCACCAGATTTCGATACGGGTGCCATAAGGGTTTCATCAGAGATCTGCTTGGGTTCTATCAATTTCTATACGGGTTAGGATTTGGTGCTTCGGCTTTCGGGACTTTGGTTTAGGGTTGGGGGACTCTCAACTCAGGCTTTAAGAGTTAAGGCTCAGGCTTGCACCTCGGGGCTAGAAATGTGATGACCCTCTCCCCCCCCTCTGTCTTTAAGGACCATACGACTAGGATGTTAAGAAGCCTCGCTCTGAAAGGAGGGGGTCTAGAGACAAGGGCTTCACAAGTTGTGGACTTAAGGACAGCAACGGTTGCATAGCACGAATAATCTCAGAGTACCTGTATCGGGTAACTCTCCAAGTTTAGGGTTTAGGGTTTAGGGGTTTAGGGTTTTGGGGTTTAGGGGTTTAGGGTTTAGGGGTTTAGGGTTAGCCCTCAACCTTAGGCCCCAAAACCTGGAACCCTCCACAGTGGCTCCAAAGCATCTTTGTGCCATGGCAGGGCACGGTGGTTTAATGTGAACTACTTGGCTACCATGCACCTGGCGACTGCAGGGGTGCCATCGCTTCTGCAGGGTCGGACCACGCACACAACACAGACAACGGCGACATCATCTGTCTGGATCCAAGACCTCCACAAGCAAGCTTCACCCTTAGATTCTAAACCCTCCACCCTAAACCCTTTAACCCTACAGAACTACTGGATCTGTGTTCGGGGGGACCAGGGCCGTAAGCGCCCAGGGTCTAGGCTTTGGTGGGATAGATGCCGAAGGTCTTTGCCTGTTGGTCTTGGTTTTTATATCAGGGCTGATCGAGGTTTTAGAGCTCTTGGGGCTGCGTGAGCTTTGGAACGGTTTACAGTGGTTATATAGGACCTAAGTGACTGTCCACACGTTGCGCTAAACTCGGCGCAAGAGTTCCAAAAGATGAAAAGCCGGCAGTTTCTGTGTGCAAGCGGTACACCTTTCAAGACCCCCTAAACCCTAAACTTAAACCCTAAACCCCTAAACCCCGCGCATGATGTAAACATTGCTAGTGGCCGTTAAACCCGCCGACAACAGCCTGAACCGGACACCAAACCCCATTCCTTCCTCAAGCCACTTCGTAACTAAGACCTTAAACAACGAAAACACAAAAGCCACAACTCTGACCCAAACCCGAACAGGAAGGGACAGCAACCCGGGCATCAGCAAGACGAGCTTGGAAAAGGAGGCCGGCCACTTGGGCTCAGATGCTGCGTTCTCATTTGCAGTTTTGGAATCTTGGCCTTTCAGGGATTGGGGGCTTTAGGGTCTTAGGAGCTGTAGAGCATTAAAACTGAATAAATATATAAACAAAAGACACACAGACAATTCATAAGTACATACCTGTGTATGTATATATATATATACATATGTACAAGATTGTATATATAACATGTGTATATATATATATATATATACAAATATATGTATACCGTACTTTTTTACAAATACTCGCATAGCGATATGCTTACATGCATATGTAGTCTTATTTCTTAATAATCATATATCCATGCAGCTAGTTTATCGGATCGTATGTTACGTTTCTGGCTTTTGCAAGGGCAAGCCGAGCAAGGCTCCAAGTTCTCAGGAAGCTAAGACGGAGAAGGTCACTGTCGGGGCCTCCTTAAGTAGAATACGGCTTTGGGCTACCATACTGTAAGTATACTAGGACTACACGGTGGTACGATTAATTAGTAGTTATTTCGACCTGAAAATTAGAGACACGTCTGTTTACCTCCGGTCAGAGAGCCCGCAGATCCTGGCCTGAAAACTGCGAGTTGCTGCAGGACTTCTGCAACGGGAAAACAATGCATGTCAAACTTTCTGGCGCCAGATTGCTGGAACCCGCCTTCCTTGAAATGCCGCATTCCTGGGCCTCAAACCCTGGGCATCAAAATAGCCCAAAAGCCTTGTATAGTATGGTTTTTGGGCCCAAAAGCCTTAATATATGAGTCCTTAGATGCCTAGGGAAAACCCGTCTCACAGCCGTGATCTGGCGAGCTGGAAGCGGGCGACCAAGCGGTCACGCAGGCTCGCTGCACCTTCCCGCGGCTTCAGTTGACGCAATGCTTTACAAGGGTCTGCTAAGGCTACGGAATTCATTTCGAGAGTGTTTTCCCTTGTTATTTGGCTTGTTCTTTTGGGTGGGTATGGGGTTTAGGGCAGGCACGTGGTACCTGAAAGAATCAAAATCCGGATGGCTATCGTAATCCTTCTGAGGTTGCTGCAACAGGTTTTAGAAGAGCTTTACCTGGTAAGTGGCTCGTCCGCACTTGAGACTGCTGGTCAGTGCTAGCAACCACGGGCCAAGTTGTCCTCGAATGTTTCATGGCCAATGATGCTGAAAATTCTGCAAACTCTTCTCTGGCCCGGACGCCACAGGCAACCGGAAGCCTGCACATGATGGCAGGATTCCAGCTGGGCTCGTAGAGGAGCAGCCAGTTCGCCGCAGTTAAGCTATTGCCTGCGGCGCCGCCATCTTCGCAAGTACAAAGGCATTGTACGTCGGGTTGCTGTTCCAGACCAGAAGTCTTTCCATCCGAGGGCTGGCGTCGGTATTGCCATCTTGTCTCGACACCGTCTCGCAGTGGCACGAACACGAGCTGCTCAACTCGCTCCGGCAGCAATTGCGCACGCATGGAATCTTCAGGGGTCAACAGGTACTTGCTAGGCCTTGCTTGTCAGCTGCTTGGGTAATCCCATGTTATGACGGTTTTGCAGGGGTCTCTCGACGAGCTCTGTAGGGGCTTTACTATATGGATCTTAGACGGGTGCTGTTTGGAATTTATACGCCGTAGCATACCCTTAAACCGAAACCATTTGTAGGGCTTCGAGCTTCATTGGCTTCGGAATTGTCATGCTTACTTGAAACTCTACGGACTTCAATCTGTATATCTACACCACGAAACCATGCAACGTGCCAGTACTTATGTATCTCTAAGACTAACAGTACTACGAATCAGAATAGTCGTACTAATAATGATAATAGTGGAAACACTCTAAATATAGCATAAACATAACTCTGAGGGACCTAAGCATGTAAGGGCCGGGAGCGAGCCTCGTGCTGAAACGTTTCGGATCCCACTGTTTAATGAGTCCCTACTTTCCGAATTGAATAAGACTGTCCTCACGGGCTAGGCGGTTTAGGGTCTAGGGTTCAGGGTTTCGGGTTTAGGGTTCAGGGTTTAGGGTTTAGGGTAAGAGTGGGTTTGGGGCTTTTTTTGTTGGATCTCAGGTTTGCATGTGGCACAATGCCCCCCAACTTTGACCAGCCCGCGAAACCTCATGACAAGAACTCTTGAGCTCCCCGTGACTTCGGCTTGAAAGTTGCAAATTATTCGTCGGCCTTGAACCCACACCCTAAAGCCTAAACCGTGGTAGCCCCCAACCAACTCAAGCAACGCGGTTGAAAATCGCCAAAGCACATGAAAACTTGTCGATCTCAACAGGGCTTTTAGGAAGTCAGTCCGGGGTTTAGCTTTTGGGTTTACTTTGGGGATTTGAGATGAGAAATTGGGAGAA